GCACTCTCGAACCTTCATCGTGAGCTCCGACATAATTTTTGAGTTTGCACTTTAGTCCCTGAACTTTCACTTTCTTCCATTTTGGTCATTTTTCATTTGTTTCTCCTTATTTCCGCTACATTCATCACTTATCCTGCAAAATATGAATTGTATAGAATTAAGTTGTATTCCAATATATTAATCAACAATTGCTCATGTTTTGACAGTAAAATAAGTATGTAAAAACGTACTTAACATAGACCAACATTAAATACTTCAAGTGAATTGACGTCTTGGAGGACAATTAGCTATTATTATATTTAATTAATTTATTGTAGGTTTGAAGCGTGATGATATTCGAACTTAATACAAAAATATCTGAATGAAAATAAAAAAATTAACAAAAATAATCCCATTAAGGAGGCATGCACACTTGATGAGTATTTAGACATAATAAATTATAAAATTCCATAAGAGATCCAGGTGCTTGATATGTTGAAAATTGAGATATCTCTATAAATTATGTCGTTATGAAAAAAAGGAATTGAAAAAGAAAAAAGTTGTTGACAACATTTTTGTGCACGATGCATTGCATCAAATTATGAATAGCGAGGAATCAAAATAATTTGTTGAGTGCATATCGGTCGAATAAATGGTTGGCCAAATAAAATCTAAAGATGTATATTATGCGAAAAGAAAATAAGAAAAATGAAGTTGTAATATATAATGCACGAACCTCAATATAATGAATACGGAAGTTTGAAGCTTCCATGAACTAGCGACGTTCTATGGCCGCTTCTTGAAGCTTCCATGAACTAGAGACGTTCTATGGCCGCTTCATTGCAAGGATCGTGATGGATGCAACACAAGTCCATATCTTGTTATCTTGACGATGCAAGAAATTTGAAACTTGATTATAGTCAACTTATCTTACATGATTATTAATGTTACATTGAAGGATAATATGACTAAAACATATAATTCAAGTAATTTTGTCACAAGGGAGTAATATACGCATTATACTCTTTTTCTTTGACCAAGATGTTGTGTCATTGGATTTTACTAACAAGATTTTTAATAAGACTATTTTGTAACGTACTCAAAAGAATAATGTACCATTTTTCATCCATTATGATTTTTTTACAAGATTTTTCCTAATAAGGTTTTAACGAGACATTTCTTTGTGTAATGATGTACATAACCTATAAGACATTTACCCTCAAAATAATACTTTTTATATGTTACAAATTGGAGAACAACAATACGATCTATTTTTCAACAATCATCATGTGATTAAAGACAAACAAAGATTGATAAATGTTATCTATGAAGAAGATATTGCTTGAAGGTTAGAACAAGACAACATGAAACATGCTATACCAAAATTGCAATATTGAAGGTATTGACATGCAAGACATGGATGACTCGATATAATAATTTTCATTTATTGAAATTAGGATGAGCAAATGTACTCTTTTTCCGTAGCTCAAGTGTTGCTGCATTGGGATTTCTTGACAAAGTTTTAACGAGATAGACATTTTATAATGTGTAATTCAAGTGTGAGTGTTGTAAATAATTTGTTTATTAGTGAATAACAATTATA